GGGTTTCACCATTTTGACCAGGATGGTCTTGATCTCTTGACCTTGTGATCCACCCGCCTCGGCCTCCCAAAGTGCTGGGATTACAGGCTTGAGCCACCGCGCCCGGCCTGGTCTCGATCTCTTGACCTCGTGATCCACCCGCCTCGGCCTCCCAAAGTGCTGGGATTACAGGCGTGAGCCACTGCGCCCGGCATGAGACAAAGTCTTGCTCTGTTGCCCAGGCTGGAGTACAGGAGTGTGATCTCAGCTCATCACAAACTCTACCTCCTCGGTTCAAGTGATTCTCTCGCCTCAGCGTCCTCTCCTGAGTAGCTGGGATTACAGGTGTGTGCACCAACCCTGGCTAATCTTTGTATTTTTAGTAGAGACGAGGTTTCACTTGTGATTCACTCACTTCGGCCTCCCAAAGTGCTGGAATTACAGGCGTGAGCCACTGTACCTGGCCTTTTTTTTTTTTTTTTGACAGGGTCTTGTGGGCCAAGATGACCAGGGGCAGACCTATGTTATTTCTAGTTAAATGATTACAAGCTTGCTTTGCTTTAAAGAATCATGCCACGGATCAAATATAGAGTTAAGAAAACTCCAAACAATGGTGCAGTAAAGTAAAACTTGTTTAAGCCCTGTAAAAACAGAAATCAAGTGGTAACCAGGAAGCGTATAGTAAAGGCCATCTGAGAGCACTCTAAAACCCCGGAACACAGCGGTGTGGTTGCAACGCAGGAAAGACTGCTTTGATCCACAATCTCTTCCCAACATAGGGTCTGCATGAGGGTCTTGTAAAAAGGGCTTGTGCAAGAACTCTGGGAAGGAATGCAACCTCTGCTCACAAGACTCGGGAGGGTCTTTGCAGATGGGAGCTTTCAAGGCAGGAAAGCCTTGCAGGGCAGAGATCTTCTGCCTCAGGCTCCCGAGTAGCTGGGACTACAGGCGTGTGCCACCATACCCCACTAATTTTTGTATATTTAGTAGAGACGGGGTTTCACCATATTGGCCAGGCTGGTCTCAAACTCCTGACCTCGTGGTCCACCTGCCTCAGCCTCCCAAAGTGCTGGGATTATAAGCGTGAGTCACTGCGCCAGGCCAAAGCAGGTTTTAAATAAGCACTGTGTAATCCCATTTGAAATGTGTATACACATGCACTATATATACACACATGAGTAGGGCCGGATGCTGTGACTCACACCTGTAATCCCTGTACTTTGGGAGGCCGAGGTGGGTGGATCACCTGAGGTCAGGAGTTCGAGACCAGCCTGGCCAACATGGTGAAACCTCACCTGTACTAAAAATACAAAAAATTAGCCAGGCGTAGTGGCAGGCACCTGTAATCCCAGCTACTCAGAAGGCTGAGGCAGGAGAATCACTTGAACCCGGGAGGTGGAGGTTGCAGTGAGCAGAGATTGCACCACTGCACCTCAGCCTGGGCAACAAGAGCCAAACTCCATCTCAAAAAAATAAAAAATAAAAAAGAGTAGCCCAACATGTTAATAAGGATTACCTCCAATTGGTGGGACTGCAGGTAATTGTTCTTATTTTTATTTTCTTTGACGCTTTTATGTTTTTCAAGATTTTCTGCAATGAGCATGTGTTATTTACTTTTAGAAAAAGCATATATTATTGTTATAATTAGAAAAAAGGCTAAAGTCATTGAAAAATCTATGCTTCCCAAGATCTAGCTGGCCTAGCCGCAACTCTGAGGGACAGATGCTGAACCACTGTGGAAGGCCTTCGGTTAGGGCTTCTGCAGAGGTGGGGTTTTGAGGAGACAGAGGGTCTGGGGCAGAGATCTGAGTTGGGGTGTCCAGGAATTTACAATCCTCACCTTGGCCTGTGCCACTTCTTTGCTGTTGAGCACAAAGAGGACATCCTGCGTATGAAGCAGGGACAAGGGCAGATCCAGAAAGGAGATGTACTTGCGCAGCACATTCACAGACTGAAGCGTGAGCACAGAACACCCTGGTTGGGGAGGAGACAGAGAGAAGTGAAGTGCCTTAGGCCTCCAGCCAGACTTTACCCTGAGCGCCCTCCCTCTACCTTGTGGCTCAGGCCAGGGCAAGACAGTGGCCACGGTGTTGTCAGGTGTTTCTGTGGCACCAAAGCTGCTCTTTGCCTGTCATTCTTACAGCTAGAAGGAGTAAAAGGGCCACAGAATACCTGGCTGGCTACCCTCTACCCCTGCCTCGTGCCCTACCAAAAAAAGGTTGGTTGCTAGAGGATGAGATTTGGCTACCTCAAAGCCAAAGGAAAGGTGAAAGTGACAGGAATTACTGTATTGGGAGGCTAGAGACCTGGTTCCAGCTCTATCAGTCAAGAATTGACAGACTTGGCAAGGTCCCTTAACCACTCTCTCTTTTTTTTTTTTGAGATGGAGTTTCGCT